ACCTCAGCACCCCCTCATGCACCCTAGTCCCCTGCCCTAGTCACAACCCAAACCCCTGCACCTCAGTCCAGTGCCCCAGATCACAACTGCCTCCTTCACCCAAACACCCTCACAGGCCCTCCTGCACCTGAATGCCTTGCACCAAATCTCCATCCCAAACCCCACACCTCTTCCATTAATATCAGGAAAGAGCTCTCAACTACTTTCTAAAATCTTGGAACGACCTCTCTTCTCCCTTCCCCAATCAAGAAGTATTGCCCACCTTGGATTAGAATTTTAAATGATCTTGAGAAACTGGTGAAATGCTTGGAAATAAATAGGATGTAATTCAATAAGTACTTCACTTATAAAGGAATAACTAGTTGCACAAATCCAAAATGGCAAATGACTGGCCAGGCAGGAATAGTGCAGAAAAAGATCTGGGCATTACAGTAGATCATTGACTCATTTTGTCATCAATGTAATAATTGTTGAAAAAAATGTTTTGGGGTTTTTTTGGGGCATGGTGGTGGGAATATGTTGGCATGAATGTTGTAAGCGAGACATAAAGAGTAATTCTTCCATGCTACTCAGCACTGGTAAGTCCTCAACTGGGAGTACTACATCCAGGTCTAGGGACCACAAATTGGAGAGAGTCTGAAGGGGAGTAACAAATTATTAAAGCTTTAAAAAAAAGCAATCTGAGGAAAGGTTGAAGAAATTGAGCCCTTTTTTCTTTTTTTTTTTTTTCCTCTTCAGGAAAAGAGACCACTGAGGGGGATACTTTATGTATCTTCAAATACATAAAATGTTATAAAGAAGAGTATGATAAATTGTTTTCATCCAGGGAATACAGGAGGGGACACACTGCGTTAAAATTTTCTCAAGGGAGATTTAGCCTAGACATTAGGGGTAAACTTCTTGTCAGGGTTGTTAGGCCTTGAAATAAGTTACCTCAGGGTGTTTCATAGTCCTATTGGAATTCTACAATTTTACTATGGCTCCAAATACAACAATTACAGAATTCTAACAGGAGTATGGAAGGTTGTTGAAGGTTAAGAGCAGATTAGACAAAAACCTATCCACTGCTGATCTAGACCATCTCGGGCAATAGTTTGTGCAGGGTGGCCACTCCAAGAATTTTAAGTGATCAAAGGTAGCACTTTTCTGTTACGTTAGTGGAGGAGGTGTGGGATCTGAGGTGGTGTTTGGATGCAGGAGAGAGCTCCAGGCAGGGATTGGAAGGTGTCCGGTTATCACCGGGACTGTCTGTTATTCGGGTCCCTATTCCGGTAACAAAAACAACCCCCGCTCCCCCCAGAAAATACTGGACTGTTTCCCTCGGATGGAAGCCCAGCAGGGACAATTTCCCTTGCTGGATCTGGTGGAGGCAGGGGAGTGAGGAGCACGGGGCCATTTAACGGTGCAGCACTTTTGTTGAGCGCAAAAAAAAAACCACTTTGGTCTCTCCTCTTTTTCCCCCCCTCCCCTTTTTTTCCCCTCAAAATAATTTTTCCCTGGGGGATGGAGGGGTGTTCAGTGGTTTTTTTGTTAAACCATCTGGCAACCCCAGGGCCCTGGCTGGGAGATGCTTACCAGCATAGGTTGGCACACTAGGGCAGACAGGCAGCCTGCATGCCATAGTGGGCCCCACACCACTCAAAGCAGATGGCTGCGAGCCTCTTGAGGGGAGTGGGGAAGTGGGTCTGTAATCACTACCTGCAAATACCACCCCCTGCAGTTCCCCTTGGCCTCTTTCCAGGCTCCAGTTGCCATGCTTCTGGGAATGGTGTGGCTAGGACCATAGCAGGCAGGCAGACTGCCTGAGCACGCTGCTGCACCATGAGATGTCTGGTTCGGTGAGGAGGCGGATCTGGCCCCTTATCTAGATAATACTTTAGTCCTCCCCAGTGCAGGGGGGCCCAGGCACAGCCCCAGGTGCTCTGCAATAATACTTGGATAGGTACAATTAGCTGGTAAGCACTGATCAGTGCTATCTAAGTCCTCAGCTTCAGAGATTCATCATGTTGATAGCTATAACAGGATATCCAGGAAACCACCCTTCTAGCCAGACAGGGAGATGGTCAAGATGTCCTCTTCTGTTGTATGCCCGTTCCTCACACACTTCTTGTTGTGGAACATGCTTGCATTTTCACAGATGGCTCCAGCTGAGGAGCCCTACCTGCCTGTGAGATGCTTGGGACTTGCTTGGGTAAGGGAGAAGGA